AGCAGAGTTAAGCAAGGGTTAAAAGCCTAAAAATTCCTGACGTAGGTGAGGCACGTCGTTCTCCTGCCTCCTCCTGTAGACACCACTGTGTCAATGCCTCACCAGCCATAAACCTCACCGCACGTCACTGGTCTAAACATCTGGCTGCAACCAACCATAATAGTAACAAGATGGCTCTGGGGCTTTTGTGTTCTAAGGAAGGTGGAAGCTATGCCAGAGGTTCAATGATACTGTACTTCAATCAGAGGCACCACCAGAATTCTGGAACATACCTGAACCTGGCCCCTTTCCCAGGAAGTCACCTTCTTGGGTGGTCTCCTTCCCATGTTGGATCTTCACTCCGCCCAATGGTTCCTGTATTGGCGTGGAGGAATTGATGTCTGCCAGAGGTCTTCTTACCTGAAAGAGAAAGAAGGCAATGCAGCCATGATTGCGGTGTGTGTGTGTGGGGGGGGGGGGAATCAATATTAGGGCCTGAACTGTCCTCATCTACACCCTACCATTCCCCCTTTAGTGCATTTCACACAATCAGGACAACTAACCCAAGCAACAAAAAGAACACTGGCATCTTCTCTCCATCACTGAAACCTTTAGTATCTTATCCTTCCTCTATAAGACAAAATCCCGCAAACTTTTCGGCTAGGTGAACCAGCTTGGGCGGTGGGTGGGGATGGTTCCATGCAAGTTCCACCACTCGTGCAAATGGAGTGCGCACATGCAGGAGGGGAAGCATGCATGCACGCCCTGTCCATGTCCCGGTTCCAAAAGGCTCAAGGCCTAGTAGTAAGTCATGCGCCAGGGGTAGGAGACCCCTGCTCTAAGAAGCTCAAGTCATAGTTTATCAAGTATAGCACTGTGAAGTGGTATATAAATCTAAGTGCTATTGCTGTATCCTGACTTTTATGTTCTATAGGAAGCCACCCCGCATCCCCAGGCTGTTAAGTGAAGCGGGCTTCCCTATTGACATTGCTGGTCGGGAGCTTGCAAAAGGGGACCCCATGACCTTGGGCCATTGCAACTGTCATAATAGCAATACCAATAGCAGTTAGACTTATATACCGCTTCATAGGACTTTCAGCCCTCTCTAAGCGGTTTACAGAGTCAGCATATTGCCCCCAACAACAATCCGGGTCCTCATTTCACCCACCTCGGAAGGATGGAAGGCTGAGTCAACCTTGAGCCGGTGAGATTTGAACCGCCGAACTGCAGATAGCAGTCAGCTGAAGTGGCCTGCAGTACTGCACTCTAACCACTGCGCCACCTTGGCTCTAACTATGAACCAGTTGCCCAAGCATCTGAATTTTGATCACGCAACCCTGAGGATGCTTCAAACGTCGTAACTGTGAAAAACGGTCGTAAGTCATACTTTTCAGTGCCGTGGTAACTTTGAACGGTCACTAAATGAACTGTTGTAAGTCGAGGTCTGCCTGTATAGACTTGTTGGAAAAAAATGGTCGTGGCCATATGCTTACTCTTCTACGTCCATTCAACCTCCCTCAAAAGGAGGGAGCATCATGCACAGATCTACGAGGGCAAGAAAAACAGAACACTTGCAGAAACAGCAGAATTGCTAGAATTGGAGAGCGCAGAACAGCCAAAAAAAGAAATTTCAGTTCAATTTAATGGCCGTTGATATAGCAACAGCACTTAGATTTATATACTGCTTTATAGTGCTTTACAGCCCACTCTAAGTGGTTTGAACCAGCCTATTGGCCCCAACGATCTGGATGCTCATTTTACCCACCTCGGAAACATTGGAAGGCCAAGTCAACCTTGAGCCTGGTGAGATTCGATCGGCCAAATTGCAAGCAGATGGCAGTCAGCAGAAGTAGCCTACAGTACTGCACTCTAACCCTCTAACCACTGCGCCACCCCGACTCATATAACCCAGGGGTGTCAAAACTCAATTTCATTGAGGGCCGCATCAGGGTTGTGCTTGACCTCGGGGCGCGGGGTGGAGGTGGCCAGGGTGGGCATGTGGACAGCTTGACGTCACTCATGTCGGGGTTGCCTGTGGTGGCTTGAGCACTCTGCCAGTGAAAACGGGCTCCCAAGGTCTGTTTTCAGCTGCAATGGCCTCCTGCAGCCCTCTGCCAACGAAAATGGAGCTCAGTCTCCCGAGCTCAGTTTTCACTGGCAGAGACAACGCAGGCTGGTCCTTTGCTGTTTTCAGAGTGGTCCCACAGGCCAAATGTAAGCACCCCATTGGCCGGATCTGGCTCGCAGGACTTGAGTTTGACACCCCTGACATAATAGTTGCTCCCCCACCCCCACCCCCATTTTCAATCATCTCTCTTTCTTAACATGCTCAACCTTAACATTTTGGGGGTGCCTTCTGAAATATCACGAGGGCAATCGCTGCTGAACAGGATCTGCTCTCACTTTTTCATCCTGGCTGCCTTGGGTCTCCCCGTTCAGGCTCTCCTCTTCAAGTCCGAGCTCCCGGTTTTCTTTCACGGGGTCAGCGAAGCTGGGGGACATTTCCCCGCTGAAGCTGATCTGGGTCTCCAGCATTTTCTCTTCCTCAGCTTCGGCTTCCAAACAATTTGGGGATTCTCTAAATTCCAAGGGTGGAGGAGAAAACGCCACTGTTTCCAAGGAATACCGGCACTCCTGCTCAGGCTCAGTGGCTGAACTCTGCCCCAAACTGCACGAAGTCCTTAGCTCGCTTTCAGTGGGGTGCTGGGAAAGGGGGTGGCTATTTCCTTCTCCGTCTTCCGCTTTCTGCTCAGGTTTGTCAGCTGCTTCTGCCTCCTGGTCCTCAGCATTTATTTCTGGCTGGAGCTCCTGGACTGAGATAGAAAAGCTTTGCTGGTAAATTTAGGCAACAGCATTGCCCCCATTCCCAGGCTCATGGCCATGGAAAAAAAGAGAGAGAGGGAAAGAGAGGGAGAGACAGGGGGAAGAAGGCAGGAAGAGGAGGAAGAAGAAGAGTGAGGGACAGGGGAAGGGAGGCAGGAAGAGGAGGAAGGGGAGGAGAGAGGGGAGGGAAGAGGAAAAGAGAGGAAGGAGAGGGAGGAAAAGGAAAGGGGACAGAGGAGAACAAAGGAGATAAAGAGGATGGGAGAGAGAAAGAGGAAGGAGAAAGAAGGCAGAGAGGTGAGGAGAGAGAAAGGAAAGAGAGAGGTGAGAGGACAGAAAGAGAAGGGAATACTGTGTTTCCCCAAAAATAAGACCGGGTCTTATATTAATTTTTGCTCCAAAAGACACATTAGGGCTTATTTTCCTGTTAGGTCTTATTTTGGGGAAAATACGGTACTAAATGCGGCACAAGCTTAACTGGGGCTTATTTTTTGGGTAGAGCTTATGTTCTGACCTCCCTCCGTCTGGTGATTAATGCCGACACAGGCTTACTGTTAGCCACGCTTTATTCACAGCAATTACTCACAGGCAAAACATTGGCAGCAACCCAGACTCCCACAGACTAGAGATACAAAACATGCAAGAGCTTCTCCAGCTTGTAATGAACGGTTGTGTCCTGCAAAAGGTCTCCTCCCAAAGTCTCTTCTTATATACTCTCTTGGAAGGAGCCAAGCCAGAACCACCTGGGCTTGATTATCTTTTATGAGTCTGTCTCCGTAACTGCTGCCTCCGTTTCTCTGCCCTTCTCTGCCAGGCTTCAGGGACAAACTCCCTTTGATCTTCCCCACTGCTCCATGCCTTAGGCGCCTCCTGGTGTCCAACCAGCCTCTCTGGTCCCT